ATACTTTAGCCATTGATCTAAATTATCTCTAGGAATCAAATCAGCCTTGTTCAAAACCAACACCAGTCTCTTGTTTCCTGCAGCTCGGACTACTTCTTCTACCTGTATTCAAATATTAGTAATAACAAAGTAATAATGGAGCTCGTATTGTAATTAACAACAAATAGACAAAAAAGGCCAAAACAATGAACAAATCAAAGATCTTGCTTTAATTAATATATATCTTATTTCATATTTAATATACCAAACGTTTCAACCTTACTAAGCCATCTTCACTCGCAATATTAATACATATGAATTACTTTCATCCTATACACAATTCTTTAAAAATATGATAGTAAACATGTAACATTACTATTTCTATTTTTTTCGTTACAAACTGTATGGGATTAAAATAGTACTGCAAATAATAATTGTGTTGTTAATTTTTATATTAATTTTAAGTTTACTGATAAATTTTTAAAGAATTGTGTAATGGAATGAAAGTAATTCATATGTATTAATATTAATATTGTGGTTGAAGAGGACTTAGTAAGGTTGAAACGTTATGCATATTAAATATGAAATGAAATACAGATTATTAATTAAAGCAAAATTTTTAATTTGCTCATTGTTTTAGCTTACTTTTTCTCTTATTTATGTCAGATGATGTCAGATTAATAAATTGATATATATTTATATTTGGAACAAAAACTCCACAAAACTTGCCTCTTTACATCGTGTTCCCAATGGATCACGAGCATCGACAACTTCAAGAATAACGTCGGCTGCATCCAGAACCTTTTTGAATTCTTTATAATAAGCTTTAAGTGAATTTTCTTCTTTAGCAACGCCTTTTTTTATTTGATCTTGAGCAGAATCTATTTCCATTGAGTTATGTGCCAACTGCTTATTCTCAGCCTGTTTAACCAATCCCTGGAGACCATCCTTGGCGAGTTGCTCGCGTTTTCTCTCACGCGCCGCTTCCTTCTGCTTCTGTTTTTCCTCCTCCCGTTGCTTCTTCATTGCCTCTACTTCTTTCAATATATCCTCTTTGAACGGACACTGATTCGGTATTTCCACTACCTTGGGTTTTCCTAAATAAAATTAAACTTATCAAACTGACTATTTTAAATACAAATGTATATCTTTATATTTGATAAATTAGAGCACTGACTTTTAGAATTTTTCTTAGCCTCTTTTCTCATTTTTCGGTTGTGTTCACGAACCTTTTTCTCAATCTTATACCTCTTCCGCGCCGGCATGCGCTTACTTTGCTTATCTATATTACAATAAAATGAGACAATTATTTTTAGAAGAACTATATTAATGTAATAAGATAATGACAAATATATGATAATGTCTTTGTTATTAATTACTACTAACAATAAAGATATGGACAGATTGAACCATTCTAATGCACATAACCTAATACATGTAACTTATTTTAGTCTTCCTCATAAAGTACGTAAAGCTTCAAATTGTTTTATGATATATTCAATACACTTACTGCGAAACTTCATATTTGCCAATAATATAACTTTACTATAAAACTATCGCAATATTTTTACAACAATAACGCTCGAAATAACCACGTGCAGACAATCGGAGCTCGGACTCTCGGACTGCTCGGAGTCTCGGAGTTGACACTGTTGGCAGAGTTGAATTTTGGAACGCACTCCTAAGTGCAAAAAGTGTAAGCAACGCAAGCAAACTCGTATTTCATCACAATAAATTACTAGAATAAGTTACTACTTCAGTGGTTTTGAATGCAATTTAAACAAAAATTAGCAAAGATATAAAATTCTAACAAAATTTCATGTTCCGAGGATTTTAAAAAATTTCTAATCTTTTTTTAATTCTATAATTTAAGAAAATTCATCTTCTAAAAATAAAAAAAATATTAATCGCGCAGCTATTATCTTTCGAAGTGATTTCGATTAAACCTTTTGGTTAACTTATATACATATACATATATAGTGAATTCAATTGAACCCCTGACGAAAAAAAAATGTTAACGAGTGCGCACTCAGTGGGCACTGGTGCACATTAAAATCGTCGTTCACTTTATTATGCGCTGTTAAATAAAATATTTTATAATTCGAAATATTTACATTTTACTTTTACATTCAGATTAAATCAATGTATAACTGCTTTAACAATTAATATAATGCCATAATGATTTTATCCAAATTTTTAATTATACGATTAATCCCTAATTAAATTTTTCCTTTTAGGTCATTCTAGTGAAACTTTTTCTTAGAATTGTTTATAATATAGTATTTTTAAAATAATTTTTTTTTTATATTTCTCAGATTTCTTTATATATAAATTGAAGTATTCTTCAAAGTACTGAGAAAGTTTATATTTTTTACAAATAAATTCTTTGTATGTGTACGTGAATTCTGAAATATTAAAAACATTTTAAGATGCCGCATTTTGTATAATTTTTGAAAAAATTAAATTTTAATTTTTCAAATTTTATAAGATTTCACCAGAAATTTTATAGCTATAAAAATAATAGAAACCTTAAAATATTTCAGAATTTACATATATGAAAAATTCTAAGAAAATATGTTTATTTTTTTCTTATTGTTAGAAAAAGAAAATATTCTTAAGTTTCTAAAAAGTGTTACAGTTTGTATAAAAATTCTGAGAAAAATTTTCACTAGATCGAATAAACAGCAAAAACAATAGAATTTGTTAACTCCGTCCATGTTAATAAATATCACAGATATGTTACCTTGACAAATTAATTGCCTATTAAGTTAATCGGAGTTGAAGTCACTCTCGAAATAATTCAGTTCATCCAGCGGAAAGATTGATTACAAAAAGTTTCTAGCTATATTTTATTCTTTCTAATCTATTCTTTTCCATCTTTCAAATTACTACTAATAATTAACAATTCTTATCCAAATTAACGAAATATTACATATTATTAAATTAAATATGAATATTATTTAATAAGTTCATCGTCAATTAAGTTAATCGCAGCCTGAGAACGGACGGTGAAAGGCACATGCATATATATACGAGGATGCGCATTCTCACACTTTCATCTCATTTTACAAGTGGCACTCGTCCGACACAGTATATAGAGACAAGGCCGTTCTGCCATGCGGGGCGGAATAGAAATTTCCGTAAATTAATTTTACGCTCGTCCCGCGAAACGTCCCTCGAAATCGCGAGAGAGTGATACAGTTTCTCCTATCCTGATTCCCACGCCGTGTTGTACATGTTTCATGAAGCGAATGAGCGATGGGCAGTAGAATTTGTCGATCTGTCCCATATAGAACAGAATTTGCAGCAATATCGCTGCAATAACGCTGCAATGCCTGCAATATTGCTGCAACTTTTGTGCTGTAGGGGGTGTTTCTCCATAAAAATTCATTTTTATCTCGATTTGAATCCGATTTGGAAAGCGCTAATTCGAATTTGTTGCATGGAATGGAAATACGATCTACAAATTAGGCCGGTATTCATAGTCAGATCTTATATTCAAAATCGTCTTAAGTACGAACCAATCAGAGGGCTGCATTAATGCCTTAAGACGGTCCTGAAATAAGAATCGACTATAAATATATCGGCCAGAGGGCCGTATTAACGTCTTAAGACATTACTTAAAACAATCTTGAAATAAGAGCGGACTATAAATAAGCATGCTCTAAGATGCTTTAAAATGCTTCTACCATAGCATTTATTCACTCTAACGCGCTCATTGAAGTAAGTAGGAGCTATAGCAGGAGCACCTTGAAGAATACTGGAGCATACGACGCGAAAAAACCTAAGGACTTAAAGACCGCGATGCCAAATTCACGAAAGGCGAAACGTATGCAGTACACGAATGCGTAATCGATTGTTTAAAATCTGATTTTACCGAATAAACTTCCGCTTCTTCCCCATAATATATGATGCATATGAATTGTATTGAATATAATCTTTTAATAAAACTACATTTTCTATTCAGAATTTTGAATTGAGCAGTATTCACCATGCACTTAAAAATTTTTTTAGATTGAAAGGCACAGAAATATTCTTCATGCAATTCCCATAAATAAATAAAAGTGCATTGGGATCGAAAAGAATTTATTTCAACGTTCGCGAATGCGTACTTCTGAAAATCTGAATCCATTTCGAGATCTATTTTAATCCATTCTCGTTTACTGGGTTGGAAGTACTTGAAAACGGCGCGCTTTCCATCGTGGTCGATCGATCGATTGATAGCAGGGGATCGAGTATAAAAATTACAAAAATGATTCACTAGATGTTAATCAATGAAATTATAAATATTCCAGTGAGAATTTGCTAAATGTTGTAATTTTGGTCTTATTTCAAGAATTTCAAGATACACGTTAATCGATCGCCCTCGGAATCTTCGGATCCGAGCGGCGAGGGGGGGAAGCGACAAGTAAAGTGTAGCGCGGTGTAGTATGCGGAGTAGAAAGGGGTACATGCCCGTTTCGGGCTCCCGCCATGCGGTGGCGTTGGCGCATCCGCCGCGACGATTCATTCCCGTAATGGCCGCCGTCTGCTGGCGTTGTCAGTGAGTGTGCGAGTGCCCGTCGCGAGTAGCTGCGTTGCGTCGGGAAGCTGCTACTCTGTCGTCGGTGAGTCTCGCGACTCTGCGATCACACGCGAAAGAGTAAATCGCAGTGGTGAGACGCGAACGATACGTTTTGACGCGTCGCGTCGCGGGTTATATTTCCCTTCGCACCGGCGGCGATTTAAAAACGAACGACTGCACATTAATTTCGTACACACAGTGTTGTGCTTTACCCCACCACCCTCTTCCGCCACGTCTCTCCTCCTCCTCCTCCTATCTGCTCCTGTCCTCTGTTTACCCGGGGCGCGCGACCGTGTCGAGTGTCAGCGACCCGTCCGAAAATCCGCGACGGCGCTCTTCCGGTTTGTCTACCTGATCGTCCCGCGTCTGTCCGCCGAGACGCGCCGATGCACGCAACGGCGTCGGATGGGTTCTCTTTCTCTCCCTCTCTCTCTTTCTCTCTCTCTCTCCTTTTTTCTTTCTTTCTCCTTCTCTCTCTTTCGCCGTCGAGAGATGGTAAACACATCGAGTGACAGCATGCGCGAGTGAGAGGAAACGTTTCGACTCGTTTGGCCGAAGTCGAAATCGGAATTTGCGAGGGAAGGAGCGTCCGGTAAGACCGCGGCCAGCAGGCCCCGAATTCTTCCTCACGTGGTTCAAGGCCGTCTAAAAGCGTCCGGACGTCACGAGTACTTGCTTGCTTGCTTGCTTGCGTCGTGAGGCGACGCGAGACGACGCTTTCCACGCGAGGCGACGCCGCGCGAGAGAGCTGTCAGCGTCGCCGAGACATTTCTCCGGTTCTTCCATCCCGGAATATCGAAGCAAACGAAATTCCGGAGCTCGAAGTCTTCTCGAACGACGACGACGACCCAAAACCCGATGCACCGTAAGTATCCTGTTTGGTCTCTTCAACTCTGTAAAGCTCGTTCCCATCAATGTATTCTCTAAGTTCTTTGAAATGGAATCTCATTCTAATGCCTGTTTCTTTATCAATAGAAAACTTTAATCTTAGTTGAGAACTTATTGTTCATTTTTGTCTAATTCTTAAAACTAGAAAAAGATGAAGAGTTAATGAACCGAGATTAAAGTTAATCTTACATTGGTGGAATTGAGCCAGTTTTGGAAAAAGTGGCTCAATTTTCAAAGGTGAGATTTCACTTTTCAGAGTGATATTCATTTTAAAAGTAGTCTTTTAGAGCATAGATTGACTTTAATCTCTTCAATTTATTCTTCATCTTTATCTAATTCTTAGAACTAGAAAAAAATGAAGAATAACAGAGATTAAAATAATTTATAGAAATATATAATAGAAATAATTAATAGAAATAAGCATAAAATCTATGTCACACTATGCATTGAAAATTAAGGATTGCGAATTGGACATTAGAATTCAACCATTTACATTTAATGTGGATTAAAATTACACTTACCTGACTAAGAATGATAAAATTTAATTTTTAATTCCTTAATCTTTTTAATCTTTTATGTATATTGTGTGTGACAAGGAGCTTTAAATCTGTCACTGCATTGAAGAATAAGAATTGCGAATTGAAAATCAGAATTCAGCCAATCAGAACGAAATGGATTAAAATTGAAATTATCTGATTGGTTTTGAATTCTACACTGAGAAAAATGTCTGATTAGAAGTAATTGGAATTTTAATTGAAATTAGACGAATCAGAACTTTCTGATCCTACTAATCTAATTGTGATAACTAGAATTCTGATGTAATCAGTTTTCTGGTTCGTCCATCTTCAACCAGATAATTTTCTCAATTTAATCTATAGTTCACAATCCTCAGTCTTCAATATGTAATGTGACACCAGGCTACGCCATGTGATTTAGAAATTACATATTAATTTATACTTTTCAAATATTTTCTTCAGTGATTCGATCGTTATTTTCCACCGATTGTAATTACTTTTTTTCTAAAGCAAAACAAAAACCGGTAAAGAATTTATATCGATTTCTATCAATGTAAATTAACTTTAGTGTCGAGTTAATTTACTTTTTTTTTAGTTCTAATCATTAGAAAAGGGTTAATTGACTCGAGATTAAAGTTTCTACATTATAGAAATGGACATGAGTTTTATGTAGATGAACTTTAATCTCGGTTTAATTTACTTTCTACTTTTTTCTAGTTTTCAAGAATTAGAGAAGGATAAACAGTGAATTAGACCGAGATTAAAGTTAATCTACATTGATAGAAATGGACATTAAGTCCGCGACAGCGATGCCGTCTTTCGCCATAATCCGTTTTCCCTTTGGATGTGTTTTGACATGTCGTTGAGAACGGTGTATATTCCTCGGTTTAATCTTCTCGTGACGGTGGAAACGTTATTGACGTATCTCTGGACGTTTCCGCTGATTTCTTCATTCGTCGCAACTTTCCAACTTTCTACATCACTCGTTAATATCGTCCTAACTGTGCCTCGGGTTAAAATGATATTTTAGATTTCGTTTAAAGTTAATTGAAGAATATTATTTCATTATCGTTCATTATTCTTTAAAGCTCACCTCACGATAAACATTTTTCATCGTAGATTTGTACAGGAATAATAAAATAATTGATTGTTTTCATCGAAAAATGTTTAATCTCTTCCCGGTGTATAGTGACGAGATTTAATTCTATTATTTCAATGTACCAATATTTTTCCTTGAGCACAACGTCATATTATAATCATAATTTTCTACGTAGAAAAGCGTATAAGAAAATGTATAGAAATAAATCCCCGAGTGGTTGTAAAAATGCCTAAAAGTTGTATCCTCCTTTATTGTATAACAATATTGAATATATAGTATGTACATAATATAATTAGCCTTAAAATATTACAAAATTAATATTGAGATTAATTACCGATATTACATAATTATTTACATCGTACGATGTCACACGACAAGCGTAAAATGAAGCCTGCGTAATAACAAGTACTGTAAAAAATAAAATGTTAATTTTAACTTAAAGACATATAGAGTGGACTTTCTGAGATATCAAAAAATGTAAAAATTAACATTTTTATGTTAATTTTAACATTTCAACATGCTTGGGAAGTTTACTATACGTCTTTAAGTTAAAATTAACGTTATTTTTTACAGTATGAAGTAACGACGAAGATAAAGAAACGATAAGGATGGTTAACAGACATTTTCAATAATAATTAACAATTTGTGTCTACGAGCACACGGTTTCTAACGAAAACTTGTCACGATTTTGCAGTGTAATGTTAATTAAAAAAGCGGCGCGAAATATCCATTAAGTCGCTATTTTTGTTACTTCTTAAAACTGTCGTTTACAAATCATGAGAATTGTTTATAACGACATCGTTTGCAAATTTCTCCCCTTTTGTCGTGTTCTAAAATAGACCAGTGCTTTTTAGCTAAAGTTCTCGTACGATTCATCTTTCTCCTCCCTCTTCTCTTTATGTTGGAGAAAAAAAAGGTGAAAAAATGAACGACGCAAGAAAAGTTCAGCTAAAAAGCACAAACAGGTCTAATAGTTACACCTGTTTGTTCGGCGAATATTGGGCCGAGTCGATACCAGTGCGGGCGTTACGTGGATGCGATACTCCGTACTTATATACATATCTACTTGACTGTGTCGTAATTGTGCAATGTAATTATGCGGTAAAAACACGTCACGTAAGTGTGGCTCAGTCTTATCAAACACTTGACTATTGGACAAACACATTGCGCGATGTCGATTTTGGCCTTTTTTTTTAATGAAAATTTTATGATTTCGTACTTACCACAAGTAATAAACTTGACATGTGACAACACGCGAGATTCTCACGGCAAGTCATTGTATTTTATAAAAAACGCAAACAGACAAAATTATTTGTTTTTCAGATAACTTTAAATGGACCTTTATAAAATCCTGACTCATATTGTTTATTATTGAACAATATGATGTAAGTACTGATTATGTAACTTTCTTTCTAAGGCGAAAATATGAAAAGTAAAAATTTCTCTATTAACGGTAAAAATTTTCACTTTTCATGTTTCTGTTTTAGAGAAAAAGCCATATTATTGCTACCATGGTTTACCGTAATTATTAATAATACGTTTAATTTTAAAGTTGTAAAAGGAAATTTTAGATCTTTTAGAACTTTAAGATTAAACTTATTTTAAATTAATGCTGTATTTAATTAGTTTCGATAAAGAAGGAATTATCTCAATTTTCATTTAAATGTTTAATTATTTTAATTGTCATTATTTTAAAAAATTTAATTATTTTTAAATTTCAATCATAAAAATTATCCAAATTATTGAAAACTACAAGTAATTTCAAATAAGTTTCTAGTATAATCACTTCGGTACAAAAATAGGAATTGTCCTTGAGTGTCACTGACGTGTTTTTGCAAAAACAATGATAGTGTCACCGACGTAAGCGCAAAAAGAAAATTTCTATACTAAGTACTGTGGTTTAAGAAACTCGGTAACTGAATGATTTTAAGATCGCTGAGAATGACAAAAGAATATTTCCGCCGATATATCTCTGTCAAAATGTCTCTTTATTTGACTTGCCCAAGATTTTTGACGATTTGTTAGAAATCTCTGGAGCTCTTGCGTGTGATTTAATAATAAATGTATGAATCTAATATATATATTTTTTTTTATTAAAAACAGCTTTGACACAAAAAACATTTATTTCTTCTCGAGAAATTGACATATTCTGCTCGTTATCGCTGTAAAATACGCTGCGATGTGCTTGATAATAAATGAAAAATAGTCTATTATAACCAGCTTACACAGCTTGCTTCTCCCGTTACTTACGATTTCTCCAGCAGGTCTGAGATATATCCGCGAAAATACAGAGAAAATATCCCGATGTCAATCTACGACGGCAATCTACGCGATGTTCGTTACGTGTGAAAATTTGATTATCGAGGGGAAAATCGATTTCAGTTACTCGTGATTTATGGCTTCGAGACGCGTGCTGCGTCATGATGCCTTCAAATTGCGGAAACCACTCGTTACCTTCGAAGATCGGACTGTACATCTTGTCCCAGCATAATTTTTTTGTCATTAAATGAAACTATGATTAAATGAAATATTCTAGATTTTAGATCATACAAGTTTCAAAAAGTTATATTATGTGTTAAGATGGTTGCCTTACACAGTTTTTCTAATATTATTAAATGAGAACCAAAACGTTTATTTTTTATATTTTAATACTTTTATGATTTAATTTAATTTAATTAGATGTATTTGATAATTAAAGGAAATTGTACGATTAAACGAAATAAAATGGAATATCCTCGATGTATCACACTACGCGTAAAGATAGTCTTTACGTCGGACGATTTCTCTAATATTGTAACGGTTATAGTTTAAACGTTTTCTATTTTTATATTTTTAGTTAGTACTTTTATAATTTGGTTTTATTTTATTTAATTAGGTATATTAAAGTCGTGACTGCGATCGTTAATTTAACTATTTTAGAGATTAATCTAATATTTTCACGCAAGAAGTGATGAACTATTTGTGTATTGCAAACAAGATCTAATTTTACGTATTATATTTATTTCTAATGTATGCCGAAAATAGATCGGGAATATACAAGAAGTTACAGGTTATTATTGCATATGATGCATATGATGAATGATCATACATATAATTATGAAACCATTATTTAAATTAATTTTCCTGTAATTATTAAAAAAATTTTTAAGATTTTACTTTATTTACATCCTAATTGGAAGCATTCTTTTCCGAGGTTTTTAATCATATTTTTAGTAACTTTCTTGATACTTGTTTACACGAATTATCGTCCTTTCAGTTTCAGGACTTTTTGGAGATCCAGAAAAGGAACGATTCTATGTTAAGCATTTCAAACAAAAATACATTTAAAGAATGGTATTTTAAAAATGTTTATGTATTTTTTTTTTAATATTAGGTCGGGGAAAAAGTTTCTTCGTCTTTAAAATAATTTTTTGCAAAAGTTTTTCATTTGTTGCAAAATTTTCGTTACAATTATATTATTCGTTAGAGCAAAGTTTCAGCTTTAAGAATCTGTTTTTTAAACTGCGGTATGATGATTTTTATCGGAGTTATGAGCAATTAAAATTAGAATGCTCCTTTACTCTTAATTCGCGAATAATTTAGTAACAAAAAATCATAGAAACATTAAAAAAAAAAGATTTTGTATAGGGAAAGCTTCAAGCTGTCACGATAGATAGTCGAAAATTTTCGTAAATTTTTCGAACACGTGAGAGACCCTCAAAGTAAATAGAAAATTTTTCATCTTTTTCAGCTCGTAGATTTTTAAATGTAAAAATTACCAAATTCACAGAAACTTAAAAAATATAGTAACCTTTCAAAAGTAGAGATTTCAAACTTTAAAACCCTTTTTTTAAATTTAAATTTCGTTCATTTTTGACGAAGATATTGTATATACAATTTTGAAAAATATGAAGAAACTTTTTCCCCGACCCAATATATTAGTATTGAACTTACACACAGAAAAATATATACTGTACACAAATAATAATTACTTATTTCAAATATTTCAAAAATTTTTATCACAAATCTATTATAAGTTCATCACAAGCATCTTTATTCAAAATACATTCTGACAATTTCAGTAAGTTTGATACTTCAATCAAGAATTATTAAATATAAAAACATTTAGTTTGCTCATTATATAATGTCACTTTTTCGATCAATTTTACAATATTCTTCAAGAGACAATAAATTCTTATAAAATAAAATATAATCAGAAGAGCTACGAGCCAAAACAAAACAAATTATGTACATATAATACAGTTGACATTAAGTAAAATAAAAGTAAAAACAAAATAAAAGTATGTCTACATCAAACTAAAAATATGTCTACATCAAACTAACGTTTCGACCACCTTCGGATCATTTTCGAAGTTATAAACAAGCATGTATATAAAAGCGGTTGACTACAATAGATTCTTATTTTGAGCACGTATTAATGAGTTTTTCTAAAATTTGTAATAAGTGGATATTTTAATGTTACAATTAAGAAAATATTCTTTGTTTCGTAAAGACAACCGTTACTTAAAAGAAAGAAAGTAAATTGAATAATAACTTTCCTTAGCAATAGAATGATATTTTTCTGTGTGTTTGGAATGCTCTAAAAGACGCCTTACAATATCAATAACTTCTAAAGTATATCTTAAAATTTAAAAACGTTATCTACAAGATAATGTCTTTAAATTTTAAGATAAAACAAAGAAAAAATAGTTTTTGAAGCATCTAAAAATTTAAATACAGGATCTGAAAATAATTTTGCTGTGGACTCTCAAAATAATTTTGTCGAATACAAACTGATTGCTAAAATGTAAAACTTTTTGCGGTATTGCTCATCATGCTTGAAATTCCTACGTAATTAGTTTGATGGTCTAACAAAATTATTTTTAGACTTGTATCTATAGCTATATCTTTACATATAAATATTAGGTATCTAAAAATAGATCTAGATCTGAAAATAAATTTTGTTGAGCTATTAAAATAATCAGGACGCTCAAATTCAACAAAATTATTTTCAGATCTAGCTACATATTTAAATACTTCAGCAAAACCATCCTTTCCGTGTAGATCAGAAAACTCTTTCTTTGTAGACATTTAGGAATGTGTATACTCAAACAACGCGTATATATTTATCTTTTTCATTACGTCAATGTTCCTTGAAATTTTCGACACTAAACTGATCACCTGTCGGTGCAATTTTATTTCAGGAAGATCTGAGTCAGCCCACGAGGAGTCGTCCGCTGGCGATGAGGGGAGAACCGTGCCAAGTTCCGGTACCGCGCTCTTCCTACGTTTCGTTTCGAATCTGTGACGTATCCTGGTCCGCCCTGCGAGGGATAACGTCTGTTTGTGACCCATCGACTGTGATTTCAACGCGTGACGCCACTGCCAAAAAGGAAACAAACTAGCGCCGATCGCGAAACCTGCGTCTTCGTCTCTGCTTCCTTCGTCTTCGAATGTATTCGTCGAAGAGGAGTGTCTTCCAACGTTGTATCAGAAACGCACGAGACGATTTTCCGTCGTCCTGCTCCGAGATACCTATGTCTTCCTACGAGTTCCAATGCCCTTGATCGGCGAAGCAACAGAACCCTTGACTTCCTTAAATTTTTCTTAAAGCACTCTCAAACACACGAAAAAAGAAAGTAGGATCGATTTCTTTGCCAATTAAGGCACTACGAATATCGTGTGCTCTGAGAATGTTGCTTGACCAAGTCGCGAACGCGATTCTTTAATTATATCACTTAATCTGTACCGTATTCGAACGCAAAGCTGCACATTGCAAAAACGGAGGTGCCTTGCCGTCGTTATCATCGTCTGAACATATTCGAATCGTGACATCATCACTGCGTTTATTCGCAGTTTAAGCAGCCACCTGTTCGAATTAGCATCTTTACAAAACTATTCTTTGTTCGTCGCGGGATACGGCAGGACGACACCGTGACGACTGTCGAGAAGCGCATCATCGAGTCGGCCGCGTGTGATGCGACGCACGCAGGGCTGTTGCTACTGTCGTCTCGCGTCATCTTGCGCGACCGCCTGGTGGCAATAACAGCGAAGATGTTCGGGAAAGTGCCGCCGTCAAACACGCCGGATCCGCCTAATAATAACGGCGGCCAAACGTCATCCAAGTCGTGCACCAAGCTGGCGACGACGGGCACAGCGTCGTGTCTGCCGTGCTTCTCGGTGGAGGAGACACCGACAGTGAACGTCGACGACAAGGTGAGACCTTGGCGACCGACGAAGGACAACGCCAACGATTCACCTACCGTCGTCTCCGAGGCTCCCAGCAACTCTCTGCAATCGCCTACCAACTTGTTGGACACCACATCCGTCGCGATGGAATCCCCTAAACCTTGCAGGACTGATGAAATAACAACGATCTGTGCAACTGTTTGTTCCAAGACCGCGACCAAGTGTTCGCCGAAAGAAGGTTTGTCGCAAGTTGGCAGGAATCACGCCAACGCGATGCAGAAGAGTCCCTCCGGTCAAAACTGCTCGAATTACTCGAAGACCGGCGTCGGCAGATCACGACGACCGCAATCTACCTCGACTGCGAGAAACCTTAACGTTGAGTTGTGTGCGAGAGACTATACAAAAACTGTGAAGAAGATTATTGCCGTTAATCGAGAGCCTCCGAGCGACAAGGAGCATCAGACGACATGTAACGAGCAGCAGTCCAAATGCTTGCAGGGATATACCCCCTCAGGTACGGTTGCTGCCAAATTATCTTCCGCGAGATCTTCCGAAATGATTTATACGTCGCTGTCGGGCGGAAAGAGATCCGATAACGAGGACTTCTTGACGGACACGTGCGCGAATTATTTTACGTCGAATGGCGCACCTAACGTGCCAGTTGTGAGCGATCACTTGCACGCGCATCAGAAGCCAGCGGTTTCAAAGGTTGATGTCAAGGATGGCGCCGGTGATTCCGCGATCATCACTACGCCTTGCGAGGATGACACCTGCGAAAGTGATTTCACTACTTCAACGCTGTCCAAAGATTGGACAGCGAGGAGGATTAGTAGCGACACGTTGCAGCAGAATTGCGCGTCCTGCCTACCACAGGATCTGCCCACGGAACTGCAACTGTCCAGCTCGCCGAGGAGCTACAAGGAGTTCAAGGAGAAGTGCCGCGATTCTCCTTGGCGGCCCACGGAGATGGCGGAGAGTGGTGCGGTGCACGGATTGACGATTTGCTCAGGCGAGACGTTTCAGGACTCGAGTTCGAAAAGGCGCACCGGGGCGTCCTGTCAAGCGCTCAGGCATGCCGTCGCTTCATTGAATCGCCTGGACGACTTCTACATGGAAAAGATCGGTGCGGGCTTCTTCTCGGAAGTTTACAAGGTAAGGTGATATTTGAAGAAAAAGAAATTATTATTATAATAATATATACCGCGTGAAAAAATAATTAGTAATCGATTTTGCGTATAAAAGAAATATTAATCTTATACTGAAAAAAAAATTGTTAATAAAATCATCTATTAAAAATTAATTGTATTGATAATTGAAGTTTATTTGGGATATGTCAACGCTAGAAATTAATATCAATAGATAATGAAAAGGATAGTATTTTTGGAATAGATCGTTAATAAAAAATATTCCTTCCACCTCTTTGCAATTCTGTGCGAATAAGCACCCATAAAACGTATTAGGTATATATCTTAAATAAAATAATTACGTCATGTAACTTTTAAATGCCATACTATGAGGAAAACCGAGTTATAACATACGCAGCCTAATTTGATAATTTTTATAAAAATAAACATTGTAAAAAATTATTTTTCAATCAAAACGCCGGACATCAAGAAACATATCAGTACTAAACAAATGTATCTTCCACCCAAAAAAAAATGTTCTGCCATTTAGCGGTTCCGTGTCAATGTCAAAGGATTTTCCATTTATATATGACTTCAAGAGGATACTCTACAAAGTAAAGGAATTTCGTATAACCATAAAGTGCTGGATTTAGGATTGCAATCCTCTCAATGCTAGAAGAATATCTTGCCGCTAGTATTTTTTGTATATCCTCTTATTTCAATTAATTTCAAAAGGTTATTAGAATTATTATAAATAGAATTTTCTATAGAAGAATTTATTTTTGATCATAGCTCATGTGTCCTCATTTTTATAGATGAATACTTTTTATAAATACACGCGTCTGATTCATGTAAGATTTTTTTGCTTAGAGAAAATGCTAAGAGGAATTCTCCGTTTATCGGCAGAATATTTTTTTTGGGGGTGTTATTTATAAAAATTATATGTAATGGAAAAAGCATGGAAATCTGATATGCCATACCAAAAAGACGTTTGAAGGATTAAAATTAAATAATTAATGTAATATTTTTTGCTTTACTGAACGGTAGAACGAAAATCCGGACGTTCACCTATCGAGGACACTATCAGATTTTAAGATACATATTTGATCGCGTTAGAGGAGGCTCGTTAGAAAGTTTTTCTCCCGTATGGCAATGCTTCTTCTTAATTCTCGCCATTGTTCATGAACAACAATCGCGAATTCGAAATGGACGCTCGCCGGATCTCGCTGTATGGAATGTGTGCTCTATCTTTGTAGATTAATATCTCGATGGAGATTAGATACGGCTATCTGGCACGAACGCGTAGCCTCGTGAAATTAATTCCATTCGTAATCACGCGGTTACTTATCGGCAACGAGTGATTGGAAGATGTATTTTTTTGTCCCGATTTTCCGGAAATGCATTAAATCTTCACTCTGTGTAGATCTTGTCAAAAAAGCTTTTTCCTTGGTCTTCAAACCATTAGATTCTATCAGTTACTGCGCGAAACGAAAGAAGCTGCGGAGGTGGAATTTTTCATTCGCAATTCAGTGATTCTGAGTCATGTGAGCGATATATAACTCCAACACGATAAAGATAACATTTATCGCATAAACAGCGAAAGGAGAAAATGCAAGTGTTAGCAAATATTTTACGCAAAATCTTAAGTAAATAGAAGATTCGCAACAATCCATTTTTTATCTGTCTTCACGTCATGAATTTCTACGTTAACTGCTGTTACAAAAAGTAGGAAGAAACCTGGAAACCACGGTGGAATTTTTTATTGGCAAGGAAATAGTTCTACGTTCCAAGTTTAAGCGACGACATCTTTTGACAAATGAAAATATTTCAAGCGAAGCAGACTATTTGGACGATGCACAACACTTGCTATAAAATGTACTTTTCTATAAAATTTCATGGTCGCACACACTTTACATATGTGACATTTACGTTCACAAATGCAGAAGCGATGTAGCGACTTCCAGAATAGTGTCACGGTAGCTTACGTAAATCATTGTCTTTATTTGCGGCCAGGAGTACGTATAATTATCGTAGGGTCTCATCCTTGACTTCATTTTTCTCGACTGATATCAGGACTTCGTAAAAATTACCCGCTTTATAGATAAATTTATCAATTGCTTCAATATCTATTCTAGAAATTATAGGAATAAGAAAAGCATGTTTAATACAAAAATATTTTTATCAATTTTATTCTTAACACTAGAACTTAACCAACACAAAGGTGAATGTTTTGTAATTTGACTGATTTGTATTTTTTAAAAATTATCCAAATAACAGTACATTTTTTTCGAGATTGTCTATAATTCTTATTTAAATACTAAAGTCTAGCTCATATCATCTAAGCTTTCATTACTTACGTTAGTTGTGTATTCACATATCACAATCTTATAACACTTTATCTACATATAATCTTTATTGTAATATATGATTAAATTAGTTAATCTATTTTGTCCTTATATTCCGTTTTTAAAGATGTATTTCTTAAACGTATTTTTTTAACAAAATATATATGAAGATATGAAAAAAATTACAATTTTTTCTATATTTGTTTGAAAATGATACAAAAAAGTTTGGCGGTGCTTTAGGACCTGAATAAAAAATTATTTTAATAAGTAGATATACTCTTTCTTCTTTAAAAATAATTGAGATAAAATGAGAAAATTTTCATTTAAACTAGAAAATTGTATTGTTAATTGTTTTAAATATTAATTTTATTGAACTGCTTCATATGAATATTTATTTTTATGCGAGAAGTATAAAATTTTCAATTCCGTTCACTTTTTGCAGAAATTATACATACATTTGATTCATCCTTATGTATACATATTTAAATAGTAGAAATTAATCGGTAGTTCTAAGTATTAAATGAAAGTTATGAAAGTTACATGAAAAAGTTACTCAAACTAATCCTTGAACATAGCAAAACGTATATAAATGTGGAAGTAACAGATGTGCCACTAGAGATTGTAGCAATTAGAATTTGCAAGCAGGAAGCCTCGTAAGCATGAAATGGACGTAAATAAATTATATCGCTTTATCTATCACGCTATTATCGTAACGGTGAATCGACGAGAGATGGGCATGTTGACTCGAGATAGAGTCATGTAGCAATTTTGCGGAAATCGATCGATTCGCTGTTTATAAGCTCGCGACACCGCATTCCGTGTCCTGCGGAGAGATTTATACACACGTCTCTTCTTCTTTCTATCGATCTAACTTCTCCGCGTGCAAGTGGTAAAAGTGGCCGGAAAGCTGCCCCAGTTCCCCGATATTCATTTCATGCAATCCGCAATTTTGCGCATTTGCCGGCCCGCGTTTGCGGCAGATGTGCCCGCCGAGGTGACGGCTGCACTGGACTACCTACCTACCTATCTACCTACCTACCTACCTACACTATAAGTCAGCCGAGCGATCCGGGACCTTGAGAAGTATGCCGCGGCTTCTCCGGCGTGGATAGGCGCGTTATAAATAGGTCAACAGGAAATTGAGCACGCTCTGTAGTGACTGCGGTGATTCCTCCGACGCAGCGGTGCGCAAATCTCGAACTTCGCGCGATTACACAGCCTTTCGGACTCTTTTCGACACATATGCTCGTTTCTACCACCAATGTAGATGAAATTTTATTTCGGTTTAATTTACTCTCTATCATTTTCTAATGTTTAGAATTGAAAAAAGATGAAGAGTTAGTTGAACCGAGACTAAAATTAAACTACATTGGTAGAAACGGTCAAAAGTGGCTTTCAGGAAATCGAATTTTTTTGCTTTATTTTTATCACTGATTCTTCTATATTCCTACGTTTTCCATGCCGAAAGTCGGGTTAAATTCATTTTAATAATTAACTGATTTTATCTCACTTTCACGAGCTTCAATTTTCGTGCTCCGCGGAATAATTTCAACCACGCTTTTTCTCTCGTCTTTCCACCGTTGCCCTCTGCAAGGATAATATTTTTCTGTTCCGCCAGATGTTGGATAGCGCACCTCTGCTTGAGCGCATTAGCAAGACCCTCGTTTAAAAATAAACTCGTGCTTCTCGATGTTATCGTGGATAGAATCGATCCTGTCGTTTGTGCCGTAGGTCAAATTCTACTTGCAATCTCCTTTCAAATATGACTAATATTATCAATCGGAAGGATGATGAATGATTCGGTGAGTCAGAGGCTGACGTATTTGATATAATTGCTCTCGATTTATTTTATCTGTTGTCAAATGGTACACATATAAGATATCGGTCGGCATCATGTAACAATTTCAAAGTGTACATACAATGTTTGATAAGAATGTTATATTGTAAATTAGAATTTTTATATCAGTAAATATTTAATCAACTTATGAAACATTATGAAATAAAAAAGCCTAATGATTAATTTTATAGTGAAAAAAAAGTAATAAGAAACTACAATTAAATTTGAGCAATTATCCTGGTAGAAATCTCATACATTTTTTGAGCAGTTACTAAACAGTTATATCAACTTCTGTCTGGTAACTGAGAAAGAAAACTACTTAGGATCCTAATTAGGATGTAACGCTTTGTTTGCAGTTACTGCATACAAAAGTTGCGTAAAATCTGAATTCATTTACACAGTAAAAAATCGTACGTCCATATGTAGAATTTTTCTTGTGTTACCACATTTTGATTATTACTTCAATGTAAAATAAACATACAACTGATATGTTATTATTTTACAATTTTTTGTAACATTTTGATATATGTGTTAGATTCATGGTACCTTTCTAACTTAACAATTGCGTGTGTCAATTAAAAATGGAATATGATTTTGAGTGTTTTTAATACAATTGTTTCAATTAATTTATACATCTCAAAGTCAATTTAATATCTAAGAATTTTTTCATTCACATTATATGAACAAAAATGTTTTATTAACATTTTCGTACAAGTTACTGCAACTATTCTTCTATGTACTCTACTTATTTTATGTGTTAGTTTTAAATCATCCTTAAAGTTAAAATAACAAATATAAATGTAAAGTATTGTGTCAATTATTTTTAACATTATTAGTTCGTTAATA